GGGGCCGGCCTGGGCCTTCCTGAATGGGCCGGGAAGGGTCCGGAGGAGCCGTGGGGCACCGCCTCCCACCCCTGAGGGTCTCAGAAGCCAACCTGAGGGCACCGGGTGGTTAAAACCCTTCGTGGAATTTCCTTAACGCCTTAAATCGGTTGTGAGGCAAGAAGAGGGGGTGTGGGGGCTGCTCGTCCTGCTCCTGCTTGGGAGGGCCCTGATTTACCCTTCTCTGGTGGAGTGCGTCCCCCCCGAACCGTTTCTTCTCTCCCCCAGGCACAGAGACGTTTCCCTCCAGCGGGGACGAGACAGCCGCAGGCGAATCTGTTGCAGAAGGGGACTTGAAACGGCTCCCCGAGTTCAACCCCCCTTCTTTCATGCCTTACGGGAACGTGGGCACCCCCCTGAAAGTTTTTCTGGAGCTGATCCGGGCCTGCAGGCTGCCTCCCTGGATTATCAAGAAATTGCAGCTGGATTTTCCAAAGACAGGCTCATCCCGTAGGTATGGGAATGTGCCTTTTGAATACCAGGACACTGAGACAGTTAGAGAAGAAGAAAGAGTTTACACTGCTGCAGGGGATGAGATCACAGAGGAAGAGGAGCCTGTGGCAAGATCTGAGGTGACTCACGCAGCCAGCGCTGAGGAAGACAAGGAGGGGCAGGAGAAGGAGGAAGAGGAGTCGCACTCGGATGATGTAAGTGGATTTTTCTAGCACTGTCCAGGGTTAACCATTGTAGCTGTGAAGCTGCGAGGGCCGATATAACTCTCTTAAAGCTCATTTTTAATATTTTAGTGGTATTGTGTAAGTTGCTTGTCTAAAAATGGCGTTGAAGTGCGGTTGTTCGTGTCTTGGTGCACGGAGCCGCTTGGCGCGTGAAGAGCGTGGGTGTTAACGCCTCCCAGACCGCTTGTCCGAAGCGAGCTGGTTGTAGGGGTTGAGCCCCGAAGGGTTTTCGTTGGGGGTTGAGCCCCGAAGGGGTTTTGGCCGGGGTTGAGCCCCGAAGGGGTTTCATCCAGGCAGAGGCTGGTGCTGCGGGAGCAGGTCTCTGCCCTGCTACACAGCACATTGGTTTGGCTCTGCTGTTGCTTGTCAATGAGGTGACCAGAAACCGGGGAGGACATCCCTGTGCTGGATATGACATGCAGAGCTGCACAGATGGTTGACCTTGCGCACTCCTGTCATTGAAGTTAGTCATTCTGAGAGAAGTGGCTTTTGTGACAGACTCCTAGACAAAAGGGCCACAGAGGCTCTCGGAGACGCTCTCACTCTCTCCACCTGGCAGACGCCGGTCTAGCCTGTTCTCACAAACCTCTGTCATTACAGCGGCAGCACAATCCCAAGGCAAGCCATTCCCGTTCTTTGCTACACCAGAATTAACTTCCATGCCAAATCTTCACTGCAATTTTATCCCATTAGGTTCTCCTAGCAACAGCGGACACAGAGAACGCTTTGTTCCCTCCTTTACAAACCTTTTATTCAGCCTTTTCTTCTCCAGACTAAACAGACTCCTCTAGCTGTTTCTCACACTCTGTTTCCTGGATCTCTAGTCTGTCTTTTGGCTGTTCCTTACTTGGTTAATGTCTTCCTTGGAGGGCTCTGCCCAGAACCGGGCAGGCAGCAGTAAAGCTCTCAGTCTGATCTGTGTCTGTGCCAGCGAGCTGCTCCTCTGGAACCCACACAATCTCTTTAGGGATCAACTCGAGCGGAATTAATTTGTTGCTGGTGCTGACTTTACGTACAACACACCTGCTCCATAAATGGGCATCTTCGCCGTGGCGGAGCGGGTCCGCTGCTGAAAGCATGCCGTGAAGTGGGTGTGATGTGGTATTTTTTTCATCACTTCTGTCTGCTGACTCCGAAGATGGCATTAGTCAGGGGAATGAGGTCACCCGTGCCGGTCGTGTCGGTGCCTGAAAACGCTGAGACGA